AAAAAAAAAAGAAAATCATGTGATTTTTAAAAAAATTCTTGAATATGCAGTAATTTACCATCAGAGAAGATGCAGTTGACAAAGCATTGATCTAATACAGGGTTGGCAAGCTACAGTCTGTGAGCGAAGTCCAGCCACTGCCTGTTTTTATTAATAAAGTTTTATTGGAACACAGCCATGCTCAATTGTTTATCTGTAGCTACTTTGGTGCTACAGGGACAGAGTTGAGTAATTGTGCCATTTACTGTGTGACCTATAGCACTTAAAATACCTGGTCCTTATCAGAAAAAGTTTGCTGACCCTTGGTCTAATTATAAAGAGATCTGAATTCTCATATTAGTTTTTTGTCCTGTAATTCAATTTTAAACTCTAGCTAATCTTGAATTTCACTAGGCCTGTTTTCTTAGCTGTAGAGTAAGAGTAGGGAAATACAATGTTTTTGAAGTTTCCTGGCTCTGAAACTCTGCCATTTAATTAAAATTATAACCTTTATAACCTGCTTTGTGTTTGAAAGAAATCATAGTTTGCGTTAGAAATTATAACTATTTTACACTCTCTAATCTACCAAGTGGCAAATTGGTTTAATGACTTTTTCTTTTATAGAAGTCCTTCTGCAGTGCTAAATAGGTTCATGCTCTGAAATTAATTTAGAAACCTACCTGTACTTGCCCTTTGCATTTATATTTTGTGACATCTTTTCATCCAAAGCCAAAAATTTGATTACAGCTCATTTAGTGTCTAGTAGATAAAATAAATGAGAAAAAGAAAAACATATCATAAGGTTACAAGTTTGTTGTTATCAAATATTTAGTAGCCTAGTTGATTTAATAGCTTTTTACTAATGAACTTGCATACCATTTAAAAAGTAGGATCTGAAATGAGTTTCAAAGATAGCATACTACCTTTGAAATTCTCTTCCAGTTTTCTAAATAAGAGTATTTAAGGAGATTTTTACTTTGCATTTAAGTGATAGAAATTACTTTAACAAGTATATCTAATTATGTAAGCAATTAATATAATTTAATAATACATGTGTGTGAATATGAACTTGTGCTACAGGAGTAGATGAAATGAAGAAAAAAAAAAGAGTAGATGAAATGAATGGTCTCAAAGCGAGCTCTCCTCTGAATAGCTTATTGAGAGTCTTTCCTAACTACACTGATTGGTTGAAAAAGAGCCAAGCTTTGAGTTTTAAGGAAATTTGTTTTATAAATAGTTATCTTAGAAATTTAACCTAATTCTTGAAATATCCTATTGGCCTTTGAGTTTTGTTTGTTCGTTTCCTATTTGCCAAAGATACTTAGTTCTTCAATTATGCATTTCTTTCTTTTTCTTTCTTTTTCTTTTCTTTTTTTTTTTAATTACAGGAATATGCCAGAAAAGCTCTCGATTTTCTCTGGGAAAAAAGACAACGAAGTAGTAATTTAGTGGGCGTGACTATAAATATTCATACTGGAGATTGGGTACGAAAAGGTATGTAAGTTAGGCTTTTTAAATCAAGCCTTTGCATCCTCAAAATGGTTGGGAAATACAGAATTTTCATTTGTTAAAATAATCTTTGGGATACTACGAAGCATAGGTTCTCACAGGATTGCTGGAATTTTAATTAATTTAGCCAGATTTTCTTTTTTGATGCCAAATGTGACACGCTTCTTCTAGATGATTTAGTATTCTATTTCTTAATGGATATAGCATTGTAGGTATAGGGTATAGATGAAATGCTATAATTTATTTGAAAACTAGAGAACCAGAGTTCCTCAGCCATCTCATATCAAGGTGTGATTTAGTAAGAATCTGTGTTCAATAAATTCTTTTTTTTTTCCTACCTCCAGAAATATAGTAGCTAAGAGCGTAGACTCTGGAGTCATGTTGTTGGATTCAAGCTATGTGATCTTGGGAAACTTATTTAACCTCTGTGTGCCTCTCTATTCCGTTTCTGTAAAGTGGGCGTATTAATAGTAATTAGTTGTTCTGTATGAGGATTAAATGAGTTAACCAATGTAAAGTGCTTAGAACAGTGCCGGGCATGTACTACACTTACTATGAAGTAGGTGCCCAGTAACGAGATGTTAGTACCTTTGATTAATAATTTTACTTCTGGGAATCTAGTCTGAGCAATAATACAAAGCATAGAAAACTATTTGGTCCCAAGATATTCCATGCAATTATAAGTAGCAGAAAATTGGAAACAGTCTAAGTAACCGTCAATTAAAAAAAGCTAAGAAAATTATTTTATGTCAGTGTTGGAATATTGTTATTAAAATAAATCAGAAGCATGGGAAGGAACATATAACAATATTTTATGAACAAACAGGATATTGAATTGTACAAAGAATGTGATTTTATCTTTATAAAACACCCTGATAAAACAAATATAGATGAATGGAAATAAACTAGAGTATTCTTAATGAAAGCATATTTTTTATACATTTTCTCTATTTCTAAAAAGCTTATCTTGTTTATATGTAAAATAAAAGGTAACTGCCTATGTTTAAATAAATAAAAAGTATGAAATTATTAATTCAAACATAATAAAATTATTACGTTTATTCAGTATTGTATAAAATTTTTCTGTGTCATCTAAATGGTTCCTGAAACAGATCTGAATTTTGACTTCAGAATTTTGTAATTTTTTTTTTCTTTTAAGCCCACCTCAGACCTCAGGTGCAAGTTAATCGTAATTAATTTTGAATTAAGCATAATCATTGCGTTATGACACAACAGTCCTATTAGTGGTTCATGCATGGCCCATTTTACTTAGTCATTTCAATAATGTAATAAGCACCACCTTGTGGATACACAGACCCAGACACAGCCCATACCCCAGCAGAATGAAGCACCTGCTGTACTTCTGCCGAAGCCAAGTAGTGCACAGCTTCGGCCGCAGCTCCAAGGATCTTGGCATCCCCACAGTTCACTTTCCTGAACAAGTGAACAAGTAGTAGATAATCTTCCAGGTGATGTATCCACTGGTGTTTATTATGGTTGGACTAGTGTTGGAAGTGGAGATGTCCATAAGACGGTGGTGAGCATGAGATGGAACCCATACTACAGGAACACAAAGCGGTCCATGGAAACTCTTATCATGTATACCTTCAAAGAGGACTTCTATGGAGAAATCTTCAATGTGGCCATTGTTGGCTACCCCAGACCAGAAGAGAATTTTTGACTCTTTAAGTCAGTTATTTCAGTAATTCAGGGTGGTACTGAGGAAGCTAAGAAATGACTAGATGTACCAGAACATTTGAAACTCAAGACAATTTCTTCCAAGTTCCTAAAAGCAAAATATTGAATGGCCACTGATGAAAAATCATCTTATGTATTCATTCACTGTTTTCTAGTATTTCACTGCTTATGATTGTCTAGTCTCATCTTGGTTATATTTTAAAAATCAAATATTTTCCTACATCTGTGAATTAAATAGTACAGTGTAGTTACTATATTGTACTTCAGCTGTTAAATCCATTATGTCATAACACTAAAAAGACTCATTTAAAGATGAAGATTTAAAGTGACATAATATGTTGATTTAAATGTACCACTAGAAAAGCATGTCTTACAATAGAAATGACATGTATATAAATACGGATAAAAAGACAACTCACTAGTTTGAGATAAAAACTATTATTTTCATGGTAAAGTACCAACATGTATGTGCTTGTATAGCATATATATAAACAGAGAAGGCTTAATGCATTTATAATGCAAATACAAATGCATTAAATAGAAGTTTTGATAGTGTATTACAGACCTATGAGGAAAAATCCAGACTTTGTATTTTTGATATTTTGTGCATCAATATATTGTTACAAACATGAAAACTGTGAAATTGCTTTAGTCATTTCCTTGCAGTCACATCATTGTGCCATCTTCATTTTTGTCTAGAGTTGGTTCAATTCTAAGTGGTCTAGACTCCACCTATCATTTTTTTTTTTTTATTGGTTAAGACAGTAAAATAAGTGTTTTTTGAATCTATAGGTTTCATTTTTGTGTTAGATAGCATTTCTTCTTTTTAAGAGTAGATATTATTATTGTTATTTAATTATTTCTTGACTTTGGTTCCTTTTTCCTTTTTAGGAAAAAGCAAAACAAGAGACTTCATCTTTAGATTTCCTCAAGATTTAAGTGAATTTACTATTCATGTATACATACCAGTTTCTTAAAGAACACAAGATGCTTATTTTCCCCCAGTGAAACTAAGAGCTAATTAAACTATGAAACAGTTAGAAAATTATTTATTTTAAATGTAATTATCTGTTCCAGGGCAAATCTAAACTGGTGTAGTCATATATATGCACGACGTAATTTAATGCTAATCTAAGGAGTGCTTATAGCTTGAAGGAAAGGCATAAATAAACATTAGTTAAATAATCTATGTAGTATGGATTTTTCCTCCTACTAACTGGATGATTTTGGTCTACTTGCATCTTTTTGTTTATATTGGCAAAATGTTGAAGTCTTTGGAAAATTAGGAAATTAACATTACAGATTGCTTTGGGCCCCCTCACAGAGTATATTGCATCATTGTTCACTTTAGCAACAGATTTGGTGATGATGGAGGGATGAAGTAGAAGTATGTAGAGGTAATTTTGAAGATAATTCTTACAAATCATTTTTTTCTTATCTGCATAAATTAGAATTGATTTTAATAATACAAAATATATAGAAAAATGTCTGAAGCTGTTGGAGAAGAGGGAAGCATATGTAATTCAGTTGGATTGTGTTTTACTTTTTGGTGTATGAATTCATGGCAAAAAATACCATTCGTGGCTTTTTCATTTCTTTATCAAAATTTTAAGTTAGAAATTCTATACATGAAAGAAGACTCAATTTTCAGTGGCTTTATGAAGCAAAGTTAAAAACAAACGTGGAAAAAGTAAAAACATTTGTGTCTTATTTGCCACTAATCATATTCTCTTTAAGTAGGTGAAAGTTCTTTAATATTTTATTGTTACCCTTGCATCTTGTTAAATAACCATTGGTTTTGAGAATCAGGTAGTGTGTTGTTTAGGGGTTAATTGTGTACATTTTCCAAAGTTTTATCTTGATTATAAGAAGTTACAGTAGTAAGTAATAGTGGTATCATTGTGATTTGTCTGAATGTTTTCAGGCCTTGAAATTTTTACTAAGTGATTTTTTTTTTTTAATTTAACAGTTGTTTAATGAAAAATCACATTTGTGTTTCCATAGATAGTGGAGTTGGAGCAGGGATTGATTCATATTATGAATATCTATTGAAAGCCTATGTCTTGCTTGGAGATGACAGTTTTCTGGAAAGATTTAACACAGTAAGTTGATACAATTTTATATTAATTTTATAATCAATTTCATTTGAGTCCAGATTTTGATAGAAACTCCATTACCTGAATGACATTGTAAAAATAATTTTTAAAATGTGTAGTGGTTTTGTGTCAGTATTTGATGATGTTGGACAGGGACAGCATAAAAAGTGACATACATTCCAAAAAATTAGTTGATCAAGTAGTTTTATTTTCACCTTTTATCAGAAACTTTGCAGATCTGCCAATAAGAGACGTAGTAGATTTGAATTTTACCTAATCTTGTTTTGTACAAGGATAAGAATTGATGAAATATGTTACTAGGTAGCTTTTTCCTTTGGATTCCAATTCTTTTTGAAATCTTGGAAGTTTGGCTTAGTTTGATTACACGAAGGATACAGGACTTTGAAAACTTGGAGAAACTAGTGATTATTCATTTCAAAAGCAAGTCTTACGACTGGCTCAGAACCACAGGCATATTTTTTGGGAAAAGTTGGAGGATTATTGAACCCAATTGAATCACCTTTTTAACTGAAGCAAACCGAAATGAATATAGCAAACTCATCAGTTATATCACTATATTCTTTAAAAAATAATCTGCCATTTCTTTGTTCACCTATCAGTTCATCCATGTTGTATGTATGGGACAGTATGACATGGTGATTAAAAGTATGGGAGATGTACTGGTTTAAATTCTGATTGTACCACCTACGGGTTTTGTGACTTTGGGCAAGTAACTAACATTATTTGCCTCTGTTTCTTATCTACAGAATGGGAGTACTGGTACTAATTTATAGGGTTATCGGGAGGATTGAGTTTATGCATTCAAAGTGATTAGAGCAGTGCCTTTAACCTATGGCCAGTTCTCAATAATAGTGATTAAATAATAGGTAAATTTGCAAAAAATATTAGTAAAAGTTGTAATAAGTCATTAATCGAATACTTTATAAAATTATCACATAGATTGTGTATTAGATTATAACAAAAATTTCTTGAGGTGAATGGGGACAAATAACTGTTTTTGTTGGCTTGTTACCACAACTCAACCTGTTGTCAACACTGAGAAATATCTTGGAGAAGAAGACAAAAGAAGGGAAAAAGAGTTTTCTAAGACCATAAAAAGCTGAGATAGCAAACCATAAGAATGGCAGCAGTGATTAGCTGCATTAGTTTAGATAGTAGTGAGCACCAAAATATTATTAGCTGAGAAGGGATCACACTTCCAAGATACAGGAAAAAACAAATTCTGTAATATAGAAGCTGGTAGCCATATTCCAAGGGGACCTGCAGGCATCAGTGGGCCACAAAGACATACTAACCATGGGCTAACGCCACAGGACATGGAGATGTTCAGTTCCCTTTTTCTCAGAAGGTCCCATATTACATATAGTCTTTAATAGTCTGCATGTGAGTTAGAGGACATAAAGGAGTACATACATATTTTAGAAAGATTTCCATCTAAAATAACTTAAATATTTATATAAATTGGTAATTATTTAGTGAGTTTATATATAAATTCTAGTTTAATTTATTCACAGTGCTATTTAATGTATTTAGAGTAGTACCTCTTTTTTCATCTAACTTTCATGAACACATATTATGATCTTTTAGCACTACGATGCCATAATGAGGTACATTAGCCAGCCACCTCTTCTACTTGATGTGCATATCCACAAACCAATGCTGAACGCTCGGACTTGGATGGATGCTTTGCTTGCCTTCTTCCCAGGCTTGCAGGTATAAAGACTTCTGCTTTCTTAATATGAACATAAGATGATGATGTTAATTAGGTGCATTTTTGATCTTTAAAACTGAACTACAAAACATGGTTGCAGTTCAGAATTGTATTTGTATACATTTTTCTGTTTATGAAATGATTAGAGATAAAATCAGCTCATGTTTTATTAGGTAATTTTCTTGTTGTTGATTTCTAGGTTTTAAAGGGGGATATTAGACCTGCTATTGAAACTCATGAAATGTTATATCAGGTGATTAAAAAACACAATTTTCTACCAGAGGTAAGCAAGTAATTTTTGGAATAATCTTACACACACACAAACACACACGCACACACGTACACATATACACTATAAGGTGCTAATTTAAAGATAGAAAATGGCATCTTCAAGTCATGTTGCTTCTTTTTTTTTCCCTATTAGTCTATTTTTGGTTTGTACAGTATTGTATATGTTTTTGCTTTTCTTTGTGTGTTAAGAGAAGTCTGATTTAGGGTAATGCTGACATTTTTAAAATTTCGTGTAAAAAAACTCCCGGCTTAGTGCTTCTCAACTCTTCCTAACTTATGCCATTGTAATATTCTCTCATTCTAACTCTTATATGTACCTACCAGCTAGGGAGATTTTGTCACTTTTTATTTTCTAAAGCTTGTCTTATGAAACTGTATACATTAGATACACTTTTGTTGTTCACACATGCGCCCTGGAAATGTAGAGAATGCCATCTCTTCCTCATGCTGATTGAGAATTATTCTTCCTGGTTTTTATACATTATATTAGTAATAAATATTCTTGCTAGCTTGATATGACAAGATTTTAATAGCATACTTTTTGGCTTTCCAGAAATGTACCATTAAAAATTTCCAAATGTGTGTATGGCCTTGTTCTATCCCTGCTTATTGACTACCCTCTGTGAGATATCTAAGCATTCCACCAACTTAGAAGGGTTCCTAAAGTGTTTGTTTTGGAAAGTATAGTTTTATTAGCCTTCAGGTGAGTAGGACTGTGCATTGCAGAAAATTCATATCCATACAGAATAAACTGAGGTTTCAATTAATACATCTATCACAAATGAAGTTTTTATTTAGTTCCCGTAAAAGGTTTTGTTTGCTTTTATTTTTATGTTCTTTTAAAAACCAGTTGATTATGTTATTGAATAAATTTCAAATAGACTAATTTTATTTATTTTTAAATAATGCCCTGTCTTATTCCATAAAGGATTTGAGGCAGTTACAAAAGAAAATATAAGCTAAAATATGAAATATGTATGCTTGCACATTGCTAAGACAGATTTTAAGTATTCTTACCACAAAAAAGATAAGTATGTGAGATAATGCATATGTTAATTAGCTTGATTTAGCCTTTTCATAGTGTATACATATATCAAAACACCATGTCATGTGTACCATAAATATATGTCACTTTTATTTGTCAATTTAAACAATTTAAAAATAAGTATGAGAACTAGAGAAGTAATAAGGGGAAAAAGTAGAGAGAAGGATAAAAAGAAAACACAATTATGTTGACCACCAGGACCCATGTAGTGTCATTACTGAGTTTCATTACTGAATTTTTCTTAGTTTTCTAATAGCCAGAATGATCATTTAAAAAATAATCCATTTAATTGGTAAAAATAGCAGCCTTTGCAGAATGAATTATTTTAAGCAATGAAAATTGATGTTTTATTGATGAAAATGTCATGATTGCTATTTTAATTGCTTTTACCTATTTATATATATTCTGCATATTCTAGAACTATTTGTTTATTTAATCACTTTTTTTATGCCTTTTGTATGTTGTTTTGTTCAGGCATTTACCACAGATTTCAGAGTACACTGGGCTCAACATCCTTTAAGGCCAGAATTTGCAGAAAGTACCTACTTCTTATATAAAGTAAGAAAAGATACCCCACTTAACTGTTTAGCCCCCATTCTCTGTTGGATCTCTCACTCTTATAATAGTAATTGAGTTTTCAGAGTCCCCTTTTAATATTGTAATGATTGGATATATCATGGTTCTTATTCATCTAGTCCATAGAATTATTGAATGATGCCAGAATTGACATATAAGGTTTTTTTCTTTAAAAAATATTGTGTGAACATTTCTTTAAAGAGAAATTTTATGTTCTAGAGCTGCTTTCTAAAGCATGTCTCTTGCCTTTCTTCAGTCAGGCAGCCTTTCTGAGCATTAGGAATTTAATCTAAAATCTAAGGTTATATAGTTAAATTTTATAATTGTGTATTTAAGAAATTCTGTAAAGCAGATTCATAGCTTTTTTCCAGATATCAGTTCTATATAATGTGCTCCAGTGCCTGATACAGTGCCTGGCACCTAGTAGGTACTCAATAAATATTTGATAAATGAATGGATATGTGGTAATATATAAGCTATATATATATATACACACACACACATATATTCTCCTTTTTAATAGGCTACAGGAGATCCTTACTACCTTGAAGTAGGGAAGACACTTATTGAAAATTTAAATAAATATGCTAGAGTGCCTTGTGGATTTGCTGCCATGAAGGATGTTCGTACTGGAAGTCATGAGGACAGGTAAAACAATTGCTAACACCCCCTTTCCTCAGGGTCTCTCTGAAACAACACAAAATGCAACTACCATTTAGGATTCAAATAAGTTTAATTCTTTTACAAAGGATGGAAACCTTTGTTCTTTGTGTTTACTTTTTTAAACTCTGTTGAATAGACTAATTTTAGTATGTTTGAAACGTTTGCATTTTTATCATAGTGCCTGGCATATAGTAGGTGCTCAAATGATTTCTGAATAAATGAATCAATGATTGTTAAATATCAGAACCTTGGTATTAGGACTATCTAAAATGTTGCTTTTTTTCTTCTTTGATAATAGTTTCCTTTTATATTACATAAAACATTAGAAATTACCAAGATGAGGAATGATCTGGAATATGATTCACGTTCAGCCAAGAATTCCTCAAAAGCTGTGTGTACTCTTACACAGTTGCTGACTTGCAGGGGTGGGAAAGACCAGTGGTAGTTTCTGTTTTGTTAGACACTGTATAGATGTAGATGGTATGAAGTATTCAAGCTATGAAAAGTGCTCCATGAGAAATTCACAAGCACTCTGCTTATTCTAAGATCACTTATATGGTTATCACATCTCTAAATGAATGCTAAAGCTTGTTTGTTCATTTGGTTAGCAAATGTTCATTCCAGAAATACTTCCTGAGGCCCCTTACGTGCCAGGGCTCTTACTAGTTTTTGAGGATTAAAGATATGAAGATATGTCCTTTCTGTCTTTGAGTCACTGAAGGCAGGCCAATAAGTAGACTTTTAAAACGTTTTGTATGTGTTATGAAACATATTAAAGGGGCATGAAGCACAGGTTGGGATGTGATAGTCAGTGAAGGATTCCTAAAGGATCCTATTTCCTGAAGGATAAACAAGAATTAGAAGAAGAAAAATGTAAAAGAAGTTCCAGGCAGTGAGACTGAAGACATGAGAAACACAGCACTCATCATCTACCCACAAAGTTGTGTCTTAGTTCTTCACTTAGTATTCGGATAATGGTTAATTAGGCTTAGAATCTCCATCCCTGCTAATGAGAAATGGTTAGGTTCTGGAAGCAGGCATACAAATAATAGCAAAAAATAAAAGCAGATGCCTTGTGTATTTGCCTATAATATTTATTGACTGTTTCCTGCACTCCAGACAGTCTTCTAAGCATTTTATGTGTTTAACTAACTTGATCCTTACAACAGCTTTCTGAAGTGTACTATTATAGTCTTCATTTTAAAGGTGAAGAAACCAAGGGAAAGAGAAGTTAGGAAACTTGCCTAAGGTCACACAGTTAGTAAGATTAAGTCAGAATTCTAATCTAGGCAGATTGGCTCTTGACAATGATGTTATACTGACAATTCGTTAAAGGACAATAAGCACCTACTATATGCCAGTCCCTGCACTTAAGCATGGGGTAGAAAGATAAAATAGAACTAGTCCCTGCACTCCCATGACTTGCAGTCAGTGAATAAGATAGGTGTGTAAAACGAAATTATCACAACCATGTGATATGTTCTAAAATACAAAAGAGGTAACAGATTGAAGAATTACAGAGGAAGACATGATTTACTGTTTAGAGTTCCATTTTTCAAAGTATAGCATCCTTCTTTTTTTTCCCCACCAGATACTCCTTTTATGACATTGTTTCTGGACCTCTTACACAATGACATTGCCCCATTCTGATTGCATTCCAGTATATACAATAACTCTTAAAATATCTTGTCCAGAATTAACCATACTCAAGATGTGTCTGGCACAACAGCCCCGTAGCTGTCTGGATTCAGGCAAAGGGTCACTAATTTTCTATGAGGCTGATGAGTTTCCACCCTCTATCCAGTTGAGGACCACTGCTTCATTGACTCACTGTTCCTCAGGGGATGGTTGTGCCTCAGATGTATTTAGCCAAACGAAAGGTTGAGAACTACTATTCTTCCTCATATTGTGTTATTAGATGTGCTTTAGATTTTTTAGGAGCTTTATTATGTTCAGCTCACAGTGAGCTTGTGATCAACTAGTTTCACATACTTAACTGTATAGTCTGCTGACAAATGAGTGTTCCACACCCTGCCCTTGAACAGCCAAGTTTTCTTCTTTTCGTGTAAACTTAGAACTTTTATACTTAGCAAAATTTCTTTTTTTGTTTTGTTTCTAGATTTTGGTCTAGGGGTTGAATCTCCTTAGCTAAACTACCATTTTTCAATGATCTATAGTTTAGATAAGCCTGCCTTACATTTTTTTCATCCAAATTGTTGGGAAGAATTTTGGTTGGACCACAACCAAAATTGCACTTGAGAGCTTTCAGTTACAGGCTCTTTGCATGCGGTGATTTATTACCCTGTAGGTCTGAGCACTATACTGTCCTCCAGGATGCCATCATGTACACAGACACAGACACACACACACACTTTTCACAATGGAAATACCTGTATTTTCCTAATAATGGATAATTACCAAAAAGAATGTAAATGGCAAAAATAATAGGAAGATATTTGCTAAGACACTCTCCCCTAACTGCGTAAGGTTACTACTGTTAGCAATTGTATAAAGGCTTCCAGACATTTTTAATGCCTGTGTATTTTTATTTATGTATGTGTTTATGATTTTAAAATATAAAATAGATCATATCTGATACTTGCTAGCTTTGCCCAATTCATATTGTAGTTATCTTACCATGCCTTGTTCTTTTCTAAATGTTTACAAACTGTCTATTCTAGTATTTGCCAATTATCAATATCCTGCTCATCTGTCTACAGTTCTCAAGATAGCATTTGCTCATGTAATAACTGCCAGTCCATCAGAAAAGGTTAAATTATGATAAGTGTATTGCAGATAAACAGGAAAGTGTTTTTATATTGTCTAAAAAGATTAATATCCAAAATGGCTAAAAATGTTTTGAAACATTACAGGTAAGTTTTTGTTCCAAAATAAAAAATCATATATATGTGGGAAAAATGATAGCTGTAGTTTCAATCTCATATGTATGCCAGGTGCTATGCTAAATAATTGACATTTAATGTCTCAGTCTTCACACCAGTGTCATGAGTGTATTGTTATATTCCTTTTACAGAAGAATAAACTCAAGCTCATAGTCCTTATATCCCCATGGTGACAGAACTCATTAGTGGAAGGTCTTTCTATTTCCAAAGCCCATGTTCTTTACCTCTTTGTTCTACTGCCTCTCCAGCTCATTCTTTAATCATGCTGTTTAAACTTGCATTTAATTTAGTAAACATTTACTGAGTGCCTACTATGTGCCAGTAATTGTGCTTGGCCAAAAGTATGAAATTGTGCAACTTGTCCAGTAAACTAGAAGTTGTTTATTACTGCCAAAACCTATGATGCTTTGGGGAGTAGTAAATTAAATTTGATGTTACTGTGATTCCATCTACCAGCTATGCTCTTTTCCTGACACTTTTAATTTAAACTTTTCTTAAATTGTTGTTAAAACATTGTAACATTAAATCACTTGTAAAAACACATACAGTTTACTTTCTTTATTTCTCCACATTCCCTTCTTAACAGGTAAATAAATATTTAGAATGTTACAATCGTAGCCCATGTGACTTTGCATTGTACTTTTTTCATGTAACTTTTTTTTTCTTTTTTTGAGTTGGAGTCTTGCTCTGTCACCCAGGCTGGAGTGCAGTGACACAATCTCGGCTCACCGCAAGCTCCATCTCCTGGGTTCAAGCCATTCTCCTGCTACAGCCTCCCGGGTAGCTGGTATTACAGGTGCCTGGCACCACACCTGGCTAATTTTTGTATTTTTGGTAGAGACGGGGTTTCACCATGTTGGCCAGGAAATTACATGCAAATAATTTCTTTATCTTTAAAGCCTTCTTTTTAAATCACTTAAATAGCTGCATAATAAATTCCATCAGATTTGTATGACTTTTTCCAGCTCTTTAATTTAGGTGAAGATTCTTATATGATTCTCACTAGTAAAATTTATTAGTTCCCTCCCTGCTGTTGATTCTTTATAGAAGAAATGGAGAACTTCCCCTTATTGAAAGGCCTATAGAAAAATCTTGTCTGCATTATTCACAAGATTCAGTGTATCAGTGTGGTAGACAATTCCTCTGGTCTTTTCCATTAACATGGAATATACTTGGAGTCAAGGTTATTCTGCCCCTGGTAGATTGATACATTCTATAGTTCTTTGAACACATAAGTTGGTATAGACAGGATTATTAACCTTGACTATTATGGCTTTCATATAGTTAAATTATTTTTATCTACTTATATTTATTTGTGACTTTTTATTTTAGAATGGATTCTTTCTTCTTGGCCGAAATGTTTAAATATCTTTACCTGTTATTTGCTGATAAAGAAGACATTATTTTTGACATAGAAGATTACATCTTTACAACAGAAGCTCATCTGTTACCTCTTTGGCTCTCTACTACAAATCAAAGCATCTCTAAGAAGAACACAGTGAGTTTTTAAATTAAATGTCTTATTCTCTTTTTATTTCTATATGTTTTATTTTTCCAAGTGAAAAGTAATCCATGACTAAAATTCAATAAATATATATATGGTAAGAAGAAACTAAATATATACATTTTCTTATTTTGTTTTATTGCATCCTGTATACACTTATATATTTCATTAGCTGTTTGCTTTTAAAAATTATGTTAAGTAGGCCGGGCGCGGTGGTTCAGGCCTGTAATCCCAGCACTCTGGGAGGCCAAGGTAGGTGGATCACGAGGTCAGGAGATCAAGACCTCCTGGCTAACACAGTGAAACCCCATCTCTACTAAATATACAAAAAATTAGCCGGGCGTGGTGGCAGGCGCCTGTAGTCCCAGCTACTTGGGAGGCTGAGGCAGGAGAGTTGCATGAACCCAGGAGATGGAGCTTGCAGTGAGTGGAGATTGTGTCACTGCACTCCAGCCTGGACGACAGAGTGAGACTCCGTCTCAAAAAAAAAAAAAATTATGTAAAATAATTATTTCTATTTACATAAAATGTTTTTATATTGTAGACCTCGGAATATACAGAACTGGATGACAGTAACTTTGATTGGACTTGTCCAAATACTCAGATCCTCTTTCCTAATGACCCATTGTATGCTCAAAGTATTCGTGAGCCCTTGAAAAATGTGGTGGATAAGAGCTGTCCTAGAGGCATCATCAGAGTGTAAGATGTATTATTTTATATTTTCTGATAATAACGTTGTTTCTTAGTAAATGACAGAAAACTTAGGGAGCATGTACCAACAGCCAAGAAGACATTCACGTAGGCCAAAAATGTTGAGATACGTAGCTATCACTGGTTAAAATAAAAATTATTAGTAAGATAGTAAAGCTTATTTTGCAGTAATATCTTTTTTATTATTATGGAAACTTTCAGTATATTATTTTATGAACTAAAGTAATAATAGTGGGCAGCATGTAACAGTTTTTAACTTCTGTAACTCATTTTTCATGGAATAGTTTCATCGAATATTTTCTGGCTGGGCATGATAGCTCACGCCTGTAATCTCAGGACTTTGGGAGACCGAGGCGGGCAGATCACCTGAGGTCAGGAGTTCGAGACCAGCCTGGCCAGCATGGTGAAACTGTCTCTACTGAAAATACAAAAAATTAGCCAGGCATAGTGGTAGGCGCGTAATCCCAGCTACTCGGGAAGCTGAAGCAGGAGAATCACTTGAACCTGGGAGGTGGAGGTTGCAGTGAGCCAAGATCACACCATTGCACTCCAGCCTAGGTGACAAGAGTGAAACTCCGTCTCAAAAAAAAAAAAAAAATTCCTTTTGTCTATAGTTTCTGTGTAGTGAAAATACAGGTATTTTGTTTTTTTGGATTTGAGTTTTTGAGGGAGTACTTATCTTGTTAAAATTGTTTGGCTTAATGAGTTCATTTTCTGACGAATAGTTATATTAGAAAGGTCATTACAAGGACTTTTTAAAAATTGTTTTTACATAAGTGTTATTATTCACTGATACAAGTATTGATTTGCTTTTAAAATATTGGGGGGAAAATCTGTGTTTTTAAAGGTTAACGTCAATAGTAACAAATGCCCAAGCAAACTTGTTCTGTACCTTTAAATAGTTACAGTTCTGTTGACTAATACTGCCTTATGTAGATAATATACATACTTTTATAACTAGAAAATGTTATATTTGAAAGCTATACCACTTGTTAACTGAAATTATGTATAAGAAAATACGTTTCCAGTTATTCCAGTTTCACTAGTTCTAAAACTAGCAATTTTGCAAGTAATATCATTTTTATTTGACATGTGTTTTTTGCCAGTTCTAATTTGTAGTTTTTAAAGCCTTGCCTGTAATTACTTTTAGCAGAGAGGAGAGTTTCAGGAGTGGAGCTAAACCCCCTCTGAGAGCCAGAGATTTCATGGCCACTAACCCTGAGCATTTAGAAATCCTGAAGAAGATGGGGGTGAGTTTGATTCACCTCAAAGATGGGAGAGTCCAGTTGGTCCAACATGCAATCCAAGTAAGACATTGCTACACTAGATACCGTGTCTGCCCTGCTTTCTGTGGTCGCATTAGCTTTAATAAGATAATGGATTTCAACTTTCTAAACACTTTAAATATATTGTTTACAGTGAGAGAATAAGAATTTTAGGACTTGGAAGTATCTTGGAAAGTCATCTAATTCAACTCCTTGATAGTATAAATCAATTAAATAAATCAGAGATAGGTTGAGTAATTTGCTGAAGTTAATATAATCAAACGCAGGACTCAAATCTAAGTTTTCTGTTTCTCAGTCCGTTGGCTTTCCCCTTTTACTTTTATTTACAACATAACTTCAAAAGCTAATAATTAGTTTTAATATTCATATCTCCATGTTTTACATCATTTTAGTCTCCAAAGGGCTACTGAATCTTAAGTATTTTGTTCATCATAGGCACTTATTTGTCTGTGCCTAGGAAAAATAACATGTCTTTTTGAGACATTTTTGTTGATTTTTACTTTGAAAGTTTTTATAACACGAAGTCTTTAAATTATTTACCTTATTAGTATATTGATTCTGAGAAAACCACATAGTTTGCTGAATAATTTTTAACCTAGAACCGTATTCAAGTATCCCTTAATCTCAAATTCAGCCCTCCCACAACTTCATCACACCCTCAAGTTTTCATCTCATCCACATTCTTGCCACATCCTTCCTTCTTTTAAGAGTATTCTTTCTTCTTTCTTATGTTTTATTTGACCTCAGTGGGAGTGACATCTCTTGTGACATTGCTTTTACTTAGGCTGCCAATGGCATAATTACCACCAAGTGACCTCTTAATCCTTTTATGATTTGACTTTTCTGTGACTATTGGCTGAACCCTTCATAAAACATTTTCCCTTCTTGGCTTCCAGGATATTTCAGCAACAAAATTCTTTCTCTACTTCACTGTTTATTGCTTTGTAGCTCTCCTTGGCACAACCACTCAATGTAAACAGTTTCCAAGAATCTGGATGATACTCTTTTCTCTATATACTCTTCTTCGACAGTCTCACCTATTTCTACAAGCTTAGCTATCATCTTTATACATATGACTTCTTAGCTATGTATATGAATCCTGATTCCTAACTTTACTATTAAATTCAACTTTCATCTACCTCTCATACGTCTTGCATCTCAATCTCAATCTGTCCAAACTTGAATTATCTCTCTCTTGTTTACTGTCTTTCTACCCTCACCTCAACCTATGTTTCCTTCTTTGGTTCTCCATGTCAGTAAAACCTATCATCGTTCTTTAAGTCATCAAAGCTGGAAATTTCAGGACAGGTTTGAACTCTTCTCTGTCTCCCAGTTCCTCTCTATCTTTTTCCATCCTCTGACTCCTATCATGTCTTGTTGGTTTTTCCTGTAAAGTATCAGGAATCATCTTTTTTTTTCTATTATAGTCAGTCATTCTTCAACTTGCCCTCTGTTAAGACTCAATTCAAATGTCATTCTAAATCTTTCCCAGGTACACACAAGCAGAATCAATTGTTCCCTCGTCTGTGCTCCTTTTCCACTTTCCCACTTGAGAAGTTTTATCATAGCTAACTTTACATGTCTTTCTCCTCCAGACACAAACTTCTTAAAGGACTGTCTCTCCAATGCCTAGGCAAGTGCTGAGATGGAATAAGTGCTTGACACATATGTTTTGAATCAAATTGAATCTGGTTGTTCACTATTTCAAGGAGGGAAAGTGTGGGTCAGGTATGAGGTTTATTTCTTCAGAGGGAAAGCCAGTGGGGAAAATAAGCGAAGTGAGCATTTGAGCATTTGCTAGAAGTCCAGCTCTCAGTCTGAATCAAAAGTGGTTTACAGAATAGCGAAAGTGACATTGATAAAAACTACAGATAAGTTATTTTCAGAAATATTATTTCCGAAGGTATTATTTTTGAGTACAAATAAAGTCATAAATACTTGGCGGTGACCTAAAGTGAAAGAAGAAGTTTTAGAGTAGAATACTATAGTACAGTGTCTTTAGGAAATCAAAAAGTTGGTGGAAGTTTCCAGAAAGGAAGGATAAAATGAATTTGTTTTTTTCATAGGCTGCTAGTTCAATTGACGCTGAAGATGGGTTGAGGTTCATGCAGGAGATGATTGAATTGTCAAGTCAGCAACAAAAAGAACAGCAGCTGCCTCCACGAGCTGTACAAATTGTTTCCCACCCATTTTTTGGCAGGGTAGTATTGACTGCTGGACCAGCTCAGTTTGGGCTGGATCTGTCTAAACATAAAGAGGTATGTATACTTAAAATATGGTTGTTGAAACTGAATTTGAAATATTAAGTATTGCCTCATTTCTTAGTCTCTTCTCTAACTTAGTAGTTTTAATTTATTTAAAAACCCGAAATAGTCAGTCTCCTGGATTTAAGTAAGGTAAAAGCATATCTTGAAAACTTCGAGTCATAATTTATGTATATAACATGCTTATAGAATTCTAACTAAAATATTATTCAGGTTCTATTCAATTTCTTGGTCTCTTCTCTAATTTAGTACCTTTATTTGATCTAAAAATGGTTTTCAGACTTTCTAAGAGCCACTAAAACCTTTCTATAAACAAAAATCTAAACCAGGAGCTTAATGTAGAAAACAGCTAAAAGCACAGAAGCTCTGGCTCCAGTGACTGGAGAAAGCCTGGGACCCTGAGGTTCTACTGGGCAAACTTTGAAGATCATTAAGCTAGTCCATCCCTATAGTTATAACATAGTTACAGTGTAGAAAACAAAGACTTACGTAACTAAACAATTCACAAGTTTGTCTAACTAATTGATTGCAGAGCTGGGACCAGAGCCCAAGTATCACGACAATCTAAAGCCAATGCTCTTTTCACTCTATTAGTGCTAATTTAGACTTTTTCTCATGTGTATTTTAAACTATGTAGAAGCTATGTAAATTGATTGATTCATTCAGCTGTTGATTAAGTGCCTACTATATTCTGTTCACTGCTTGCTGTATCAGTTTACAAAACCATTGAAGATCTATGCCCTTATGGAATTTACGTTTTAGGAGAGTGAAGGATATTAAAACATCTTTATAGTAACATCTTTAAAAAAATCAGTTCCTTGGTGGATTTAATTTTTCTGGGGAAAAGAACTGCTTGCAGATTCATATAGACTAAATCCATTTTTTTCTTCTCTTTGAAAAACTTTTCTTGTTACCAATGATCATTTCAAATTGGTTCCCAGCTATTATAAATGTAGTAAATCTGCCTACAGGTCCCAACTTTACCACTTAATAACATTGTGTTAACATTGTGAGCAAATTACAGAACCTGAGTCTCAATTTCCCCCTGTGTGAAATGGAAATGTTATTTGTGTTGTTTTGCTCAGGGTCGTTGTAAATAACAGATTTTGTAGTTTATGTAAAAATGTTCTATAAACTGCAAAGCACACTCGAAATATTGGTTGAGTACTGTGATATGCACAATGTTTAAAATAAATTTTATGCTGAATATATATTAGATATATTATTAGAAAAGAAATGAGTCTGGTTCTCTCAAAGCTCTAGATATTGAGGTTTAATGACTTGATTGCCATTTGAGAAGATTAAAGTATTTAAGTTGCTTTTATTTCTGACAGACAAGAGGATTTGTTGCAAGCAGTAAACCATACAATGGTTGTTCAGAGCTTACTAACCCAGAGGCAGTGATGGGAAAAATCGCACTGATACAAAGAGGACAGTGCATGTTTGCAGAAAAGGCACGCAACATCCAGAATGCCGGAGCCATTGGTGGCATTGTTATTGGTAAGTAATTCTCCATGTCATTGTGTTGACTGAAGAAGAGATAATTTTTAGGATTTTTTTCCTTTTATTTTCTGAAATTTTATCAAAGAGTTTGTCATATTTTTTTTTACCTTACCTAGACAACATGAAGGATAGGTAATCCAATGACTCTTAATTTCTAGATATCTAACAACTTTTTCAAAAGTCTAGATTTGAGTTTCTGTATATTAATGTCAGTGAAAATACTTGGGGTTAGGTGTGAGGGTGTGGTAGGACTGAGTGGTAAAAACATTCAGTACCATGGATAAGAAAATGTGCCCATAAGATCCATAACCCTTGAAGGGCAAGAATTACACTGTGCCACCGCCAGTGGGGAGCCATTGAAAATTTCCATTACTCCACAAAGATGCAGGCTTTGGAGACAGACACATGAGAGTACAGTTCCTGGCTCTACCACAAAATTGCAGTGTAACCTTGGCCCAGCTGCAGTTTTTTAATCTGTAGATTAAATAGTAGAATATTTTTTGATATGATAGTAGAATTTTTTTGAGCTCCAGTGGATGTGATAATAAGTATATTTTAGGTGATTGTAAGGTTTAAAGATAATATATATAAAATTTCTTGGCATAATAGCAGACATAGGATAAGTACTACTATAGCAGTATTTACAGTATTTGTAGCAGATCTTTATCCCCTTGGATCTTTTTCCGCTGAAATGACAAATTACCACCTTTAAATCATCTTACCCATATGTATCAACTAGTGGGTTTTGCTTTTTTATCATTCATAGACAATCACTTGTATCATGATAAACAGGCTATGACTATCAGGGAAAATATAAATTTTTCTGTTTTAAAGTAAATAGGAGTTTACATTCAGAAAGAACCTTGAAAGACCTGGGGTCATATGCTGATTGTGAGTTCTTTTGTACAACTTCTCTCACAGGGAAATCTATTTTGGATTTCCGTCCCCACCCCTGCCCCCCGCCACACACACACACAACACCCAATAGTTCAGGTAAAAAAAAAAAAAGTTCAGGTAAAACAGAATATTAACACTTATGTTGATGTAATGGATGCATGAATTTTATTAATAAACATTAGGAGAAGTCCTGTTTAATGACTTAAATCAGCAGTTGGCAAACTACAAGACTCTAGGCCAAGTCCAGCTCATGGCCCATTTTTGTAAATAAAGGTTTTATTGGGACACAGTCATGCCAGTTTGTTTGTGTATTGTCTATGACTGCTTTGAACTGCAGTGATGGAGTTAAGTACTTACAGGAGAGAACTGCAAAGCCTGAAATATTTCTTCATCATCTAGCCAGTTACAGAAGAGATTTGCCGACCCCTGACTTAAATCATCCTCTTTATCCTTGGGTATTTCCCACACTTAGATTCGTTTTATTGTAGAATTTAGTATATTAACCATCACTATCATTTTGAACATTTCTTACCAAGACTTCAAAATGAAAATGTAAAGTATAAAGTGTAGAACTTATACATTAATATTTAAAAATACTTCTTTGTGTAGTATTTTTGGTTTTGTTATATTTTTCAGTGAAGTCTAATTCTCACGATCTTCTATAATATGCAAGAATTGTCAATTTTTGTTTTGTTTTGTTTTGTTTGTTTTGAGATGGAGTCTTGCTCTGTTGCCCAGGCTGGAGTGCAGTTGGTGTGATCTCTGCTCACTGCAACCTCCTTCTCCCAGATTCAAGCAGTTCTCCCTGCCTCAGTCTCCTGAGTAGCTGGGATTATAGGCGCCTGCCCCACCATGCCCAGCTAATTTTTGTATTTTTTTTTTTTTCTTTTTAGTAGAGACGGGGTTTCTCCATGTTGGCCAGACTGGTCTTGAATTTTCAGCCTGATCTTGGGTTACCCGCCTGCCTCGGCCTCCCACAGTGCTGGGATTACAGATGAGCCCGGCCCGTCAAATGTTTTTTTTTGGTAGCTATTAGTTGGGAAATGCTATTCTGGGTTCTGTGGATAAATAAATAAGAGATGATGATCCTTACCCTCAGAAATTTTTTTTTTTTTTTGAGACAGACTCTTGCCAGGCTAGAGTGCAGTGGCATGATCTCGGCTCGCTACAACCTCCACCTCTAGGTTCAAGTAGGTCTTGTGCCTCAGCCTCCTGAGTAGCTGGGGTTACAGGTGTGCACCACCACGCCCAGCTAATTTTTGTATTTTTAGTAGAGAAGAGATTTTGCCATGTTGGCCAGGTTGGTCTCAAACTCCTGGCCTCAAGTGGTCTGTCTGCCTTGGCCTCCAAAAGTGCTGGGATTACAGCCATGAGCCACCGTGCCCAGCCAAAAATTTAATTTTTAATGAGAAACTTTCTTGTGTTGACTTCTTTCTCCTAAGTTTTTTGTTTCTGACAAATTATTTTGTTTTTATTTGTTTTAATTGTATATAAATGAATAAATTAGGAATTAGCTGTTTTTTGTTGCAAGGGTTAGAAGTACGAATTATCTTAGAAATCATGTGACTGCAGGAGATAATTAAGTTGGTTTAAGAAGGGAAGTTTTTTCACTACATGGAAATGGATTATTTTCAATGAATTCAACCGTACAAATACAACTAGGATTCACTAGGAGGTAGAAGTGGGAACTAAAAATCATCAGGATCCACGATAGTGAATGTTTTTCACTTTTCTCTTTATATCTCTACCTCTGGGTTCTTCTGAACTCTTCTTCCCTGCCCCTCTTTGCAATTCTGCTTCATTTTCCAGCTTCTCACCAGCTTGCTCTCTCTTTGTTCATCAGTTCCAAAATGGCCATTCTAGTTTGCAGCCTCAGCCCCAAGTCTGTGTCATTTAACTGGGCTATTTCCCCCTGCTAACTGAAACAGTCTTTCTGTGTGCCAGTTCTAGGTCCCCCAGAGAAACTCAGGGTCAGGTAGCCATCTTTTGTCTACTCAATTATTACCAAAAGGATGGGTCATGCATTCTGCACTTAGCAGGACCTATGAGAGTGAGCACCCTGAGACAGGACAGACAGTTTCTTCTGGGAGACTGGCATGCGAGTTGAAGGTGGTTGTGATTATCATCTCCAGTAAAACAGCACAGCATATTGCTAGTAATACTACTATTAATAGTTCTAGTACTATTATTTAACCAGCGCAAAATAGCAATACTGTTTAGCTTATAGAGGAAGAAGCACTATAGTCATAACTATTCTTTGTGTGCATTATATAAAAAAGAAATGTCCATTTTTAGTTTGGTAAAACAATGTACTCATGACAGTAGTGGAAATTTTCAACAATAAAATTCATTCATAGTTCTGTCACTGTCATTCAAGTCATTGAATTTTTTCATTTCTAGGCTTTTCCATAAGCATATGAAATTTTTATAGTCATAATCATAGAATTCTGTATTCTACTTTTTTAATGTATTATTATTCTGTGTGTCCTATCAAGTAGGTCATTATAACTTACTTATAATGGTATGCTGTTGTTTACAATTATAAATAGTTTAGTAAAATTATTTGGGCATAGGGCTTTTTGCTTCTTTTGAATTATTTCCTTTGGATACAATTCTATGATAATTAATGGGTCCAAAAGTTATGTTGGTTTTTATGGTTCTCGATGCATAAAATTAATTCTGTCATTGTAAAAAAATCAGTAACAATTGGTAGATAGATCTTTTTAATGGTTGGATGTTTTGATGTTTGCTGTATTTATTTTCTGGCTAGATGACAATGAGGGGAGCAGCAGTGATACTGCCCCTCTGTTCCAGATGGCAGGTGATGGAAAGGATACGGATGACATCAAGATCCCCATGCTGTTCTTATTCAGCAAAGAAGGAAGTATCATCTTGGATGCCATCCGGGAATATGAGGAGGTAGAAGTGCTCCTTTCTGATAAAGCGAAAGATCGAGGTAAGAGTCAAATACTATTTGTTTTTTTATGCAGCTTAGTATTAATTTTGCTAGTTTGATTACAAGAATGAGTCACAAAAAATTTTTTTTTGAGGTTCACTGGGAAAACAAGTAAAATTTTTAGAAGATGATTTCAAAATATATTTTTGTTTTGGAAATAAGAATAATAAAACATTTATTTTGCTTTGTTTTCTGAGTTCGGATGTTTTTAGAAATATGTTTTTATGTGTAATTTGTAATTTTTGCCATGAGTCTGTTCAGGTGATAAAAATACAAGAGACTACTTCAGGAAAGCCGTTTTAACATCCAGAAATGTTCACCATGTGATTTCACTGATACTACATCTTACATGTCTTTTATAAGGAATAAGAAGACATGTATAGAATGTTGTATACAATATGATAGTAGTTGGTCTCAACAGGCCACCTGTAATCAAATGACTGCTGTCTTGGTGAAGGCAATAGAAATCTAGCAGCTTCTTCCCAATGAGGTCTAAGTCTATCACATGGATATTTGTAAGAGTTACAAATGGCTGTTTCTGAAAAACAAGATAGCATGTCTTAATTTATGAGAGTAGATAGTCCTCTACAGGCCAAAATGTTTGTTAGTAATTTGAAATCTCTTTGAAACCCAGATTACTATATAAATGCAAGGCTTTCATAGTATTCTTACATAGTTTCACACCCAAGGATAGAGGAGAAATGAGGGAAGGTGAGCCTTCAGATCTTGTTCGTGGTAGCAGTCTTTCCTGTCTGCTGGAGAGACGTGAAGAGAGAGCTAAAGTTCTCCCATACCCTTAAATAGATGAGGTTGTATAATAGTACAGAGTTGTGACATCCCCTGGGGTGTTTGATAGATATGTAGGAAACTGATTCAATTCTGTGTGACTTCCAAGTGGGACATTTAAAAAAAAAAAAAAAAGTTTGGTGATAATTATGCTAGCATAATCATGCTAGCCTAGTTTTGTCTTCTTGTATTGCTTTATTCTTCTTTGAGATTCTTTGAAATGTCAATTATTTAAGAGCAATGGAGTGAGCAAGTAGGTTGTTTGTATATAACAATGTATAGATGGAAACAGAACAGAATACAAAGGTTTTCTAATCTTAAATCCTCTGTATACCTGATTTCTTTTTTCCTGGGCCCTTTTCTAAACTCAAATCTTCTTGCCTACATATATGCATTTAGGCACATCTAACATAGGCAAATTATTATTTCATGTAACTTTTTATTATTTCATGTAACTCTTTAATGCATTTGTTTTTTTCCCTCCTATTTTGTGCCACCACTGGAATTTCAGCAGCAATATTAAAAGGTAAAATGATTCCAAGCTACATTATTAATAGTAGTAAGTATCTTGCATTAACAAGCCTTAAATTATATATGTATATATGTATTGTGTGTGTGTACACACACAAGTACATATATAATTTTGTTTCAGTGGATACCATGATAATATCTTGTGTAACATAATTAGATTATTTTTATGTCTAGTCAGCTGTCACATAATAATTTTTAATCGATCCTGTCGTAACAAATTCTAATAATTATACATCCCATATAATAGATGAATTCTATGTCTGTGTCCATACAAGAGTCACTCTAACAAAGGCATTGTTGTTTTGGTGTTTATTACTTTGATCACTTTTTATTTGAACACAATGTAAAATATTTAAAGTATTGACTTGTTTTAAAAGCTCGTGTGTGTGTGTGTGGTACATGGGTTAGGACTATAGGATTATGGTAAAGCATGTGCTTCTTATACCAGAGAAAGGTTATGAGACATGATTAATTCTACCAGAAAATAAAAATTCTTGGTGAACAGTGTCCCCTTAAGGACCTTGCATTAAAAGGGCATTATTTAAAAGATATTTTTTGAAAAGTTTAGTCTATAAATTTACTGAACTGTGATTGTTATAGAGTGATCTTTTGATGTAAGTATTGAAAAGCCACTTTTTTGTGTAATAGCTCTTTATAGAACTGTACAACTATATTGATTAGCAACAAGATACAGTATAATTGTTAATATTTATTAATGTAACAAATCAGTGATAATAGTGTTATGAAATCAACAAATTTATTCACTTAGGATAATATCCTAAGAGACTACACAGTCTGTAGTGGTTATCATTTGTCCTATATCGTTACCACATACATCAGTGTTTCTCCCCTGCATCAGAATCAACAGATAACACTTATTAAAAGTGTTGGCTCCTGAGTCCTGCTCCAAATATTGAATCAGACTTTCTGATTCAGACTTTCTGATTGGGAATCAGAATCTGAAACTTCAAGCAAACATCCCAGGTGATTGTGTTGTAGCTGCTTCCTCAGCTACACTTTGAGAAATACTGAACAAGATTCAGAAAGCACCCCTCTTCTGTCTCCCAGCTATGTATCAGGCCATATTGTAACATCACGGATACTAGTTAACAGATTATATAAGTGCAGTAAATAACATCCTTAAAATCTGAACAATAAAATGTTCTCCAGATTGCCTTTTCTAGAAATCTCATTCCACAATACATGTTTTTCCTTATGAAGTCACACAGTGCTGATTAAGCAGTCCTTTTCATATATTAATACAGAAAACAGAAGCCCCTAAAAAGCCTTCACTCCTGTCTTCTTACTCTGATAAGTCCATGCCATATAGACATATCTGAAACTGTTCTGCTAGCAGAAATTTTCTGTTTATCTTAACACACATTCTTCTTTAGAAGCTAAAAAGCATTAGCATTTTATCAAGTGATGTTGCTTCCTGAGGTCAAACCTGTGACACTTCTGAAAGTTAAGCTATCCACAGTCTATTGTTGAACAGAATTTTCAGCATCATATCGCTCAGCGTTTCAGTTTTCCAAAATTTCAGTTCATAAAGGTACTTAATTATTCCAACCCTGTGCCCACAAACAAAGGCAATGTGTTGTTACCTTTAGGTCCAAATTGAAGCAGTTTACAATTAAGAGTAAATTTCCTTTTTTCAGTAGTATTTCTCACGGGGAAAAAACATCAGCATTTTTAAGTTCCAATATATCGTCATGCTTGCAACTTAGAGGGTAAGCCTATAGCGCCTTAAGGGCTCTAGACAAATGCTTTCAAGCCACTCTATTTGTGTCTGTGTGGTAAAGAGCCAGACAGAGAAAATGGAGGAGGGGGGAAAAAAGGTTCCATCCTTTGCAATGCTCTGATTTAAGTCAGGCAGGGTCACTTTTCCTGATTATCCCCCACTGAACTTGATTGGAATGAATCTGTTCGACAGCTGAACCACAGACCTTAAGTTGCTGTTGGAAAGGATTTGATTCCTAGGAGAAAAATCTAGTACATATGCCGATGAACTCTACCTGGAGAGAAACATCTGAAACATTCTTCTTAGCAGAATTGATACTTAACCTTCCCTTCTCCAACCAAGGCATGTTTTCTCATGCATTTTCACATTTGCACCATCTCTTCCCTTTTTCTGGAAGTTCCCTGTCAATCCCTGTTTCCTCTGTAAGAACATTTGGACATCCTAAATTTCAAATTCCACCTTCTTTATGAAATTTTTCTTAATTCTCCTAGGTAAAATTTAAGGGTGTCCTTTTAATACAGTTCTACTATGATACTTAAATAGTTCTTTACCTGCTTCTTATCGCTATATTCCTTGCTTTCAGTAAATATTTAATGTACAGATGAATGAATGAATGAATGAATGAATGATTGTATAACATCCAATCTCTAAGTCTTTACCAAGGTTCTTTTCCCCTTTCATTATTAAAGCATACTGGTTTTTTTCCTTTGTATTTTGAGAGTTTCTCCCTTATTTCTTTCTGTGTTTCTGATGTACCATTCCTGAGTTTAATATTGTGGTTGTTATGTTCTTAGGACTTTGATCTCACATACTGGTGAAAACAGGCACCTTAGGATCAAGATTTGTAGCAATCTGGCAGACTTTAACTCTTCTATGTTTTTGTAGTTCTCTAACTGCCATTTTTACTTTCCTGATTGTCACTTTTATTTCTAGTTCTATAGCTCCTTCAGCTTGCGAAAACCAAAATCTATTCTTCTATGGACATCTTCTTCAAAGTTCTTCTCTCTCTCTCTCTGCTTCTCTGCATTTACATTTAGTTGGCCCCGGGTGACTTTCCTATAGCACTGCATAGAATAGTTATTGGTATCTTTTTAGAAACTTTATAAAATTAAACTTGTAACAAATTAAACAATCCAGAGGTGTATTAAAAGCTTTTAAATAATCTCTCATCTTTCCGAGATAACCAACCAATGTTAACAGTTTGATGTGTAGTCTTTTGTATTTTTCTTCGTGCTTTATACATTTCTAAATATATGTATCATTCAGTAACTTGCCTTTTACAGTTAAAGCCATATTAAAGACATTCCTCCAAGCTAGTAGGATAGCATAACTTATTCTCTTGAAAGCTACATTATGTTTTGTATTATGACAGTACCATGATTTATTTAACCATGTCACTATTAGGCATCCAGATTATTTCCAGGTTTTTGTTTTGCCACTGTATACAATGGTGTAGGTAATGTTCTTGTACATATCTTCTTAGATATGCATACTTTTTTTCTAGAATTTTGAGATTTACTAAAATGGAATGCTGGCAGAAAGGATATGGGTCTTTTTCATTTTAATGGATGTTACAAGATGCATTCCAAAAAAGCTTGTAGCAATTCACATCCCTTCCAGCAATATATGAAAGTACATGTTTCTTCCTATTTTAGTCAGCATATTTCCCTTTATAGGTATATTTTTTGTTTTTTCTCCTTATGGATTGCCTAGTCATACATTTTGCCTTCTTTAAATAAGATTGTGTGTCTTTTCTAGATATTTTATAGGACCTCTCTGTCTGTCTGTGCATTTCTTTTCCTATATTTACATGCATACTCATAAAGAAATAGAGGTTCTGTAAATTATCTAGAAAAGACACACTTATAGAGACAGGTTACACACACATACACACACACACACACACGCAATTTTCCCAACATGTCATCTTTTCACTTTGTTCATGTAACTTTCATAACATTTTTATGTAATCAGAAATAATAATTCCTTTAAGGCTCCTGGGTCTCCTGTCTCACTTCAGAAGATCACTCCATCCTATTTTTACATAATATTTTCCTAAATTCTTCTGGCATTTTTACAATTTTTTACATTTTGGTCTCTAAATCATATGGAATTTTAAAACATAAGTTAGGAGTCTTACTTTCCAATTGAGTTGTCAGTTTCTAGATACCATTTATGAAGCAAACCACTAATTTCTCCTTCAGTTAAACTACCATCTTTGCTATATATCAAATATTCTTGCATAGTTGGATCTGCTTCTAGACTTACCCTTCTGTTCTACTAATCTTTTTATTCCTGTGCCAATAATAAAACAGTTTGCTGTTCTGAGTAAATTTTATTCTCTGATAGGGCAATTCTCCCCTCACTGATTCTTCTTAGAATTTCTTGACTTCTCTTTGACATATGCTGTTCCCTAGAAACTTTAAATTAATTGTATCTGGTTCTAAAACAAAAACAAGAAGTACAAATGAGATTCATTTTGAAATTATATAATTGCATACTTTACATATAAGTTAGGAAAATGCTAAATATTAAGACTTTTCATTTAAGAATATACCTATAAATTTAATCAAATCTTGTTTTGTATTCTCATTATGATTTTATAGTATTAAGCAATATGGGTCTTATACCTTTTACAATAAATTTAATTCTGTATTTTGTAGCTTTTATTTTTATTATGAAAAGGTTTAATGATTATATTTTTAGCTAGTTATTGTTACTACAAAGGAGTTATTGGTATTTGCATAGTCTTCTTACCAAATTCTTTTATCAGTTCTAATAGTTTTTTTTTCATTCGAGTTGCTTTGACAGTATACGATCACAATCTGAAAATACAAATAATTTGATCTTTTTCTATATTTACATTGATTATTCTACTTTCTTGTCCGATTGCATTAGCTACAGTCCCAAAATAATATTGTATATGTAACCCTAGGAGAGTTTTTGATCACAAGCACAATCTTCATTACCAGGTAAAACAACCCTACACCTTTTCCTCTCTTTCTAATCTGGAATAATACAATCTAGAAAGAAATTCGGAGGTTTTTCTTTTTGTTCTCTCTTGAATTTAGGGAACCTAGGATAAATAAGCTGTAAGTAGCCAGCTACCTTCTTTCTTTGGTCCGCACCATTGGTTTCCCTAATTGCCTATTTAAATCGTACCTTTTTCACAGCTTAGAAGACAGAGATTGTGTGGAACTCCTCAATCCAACCCTCCAATCCCCCCCTGCCCTGACCAAGAAAAAAACCCTAAGAATGTAAAGTTTCAGAGTCAGGTAATCCCACCTCATCAGGGTGAATATATATGCGATGTAGGGGCAGAAAGGGGTGATCCCTTTCCTCCCCATCATAAAGGGTTATAGCTGACACCCCTGTTAAACAGGTTAACAAGAGAAAAGCGTAATAATTTTATTATGTGTATGTGTGTGCACAGGAGCCATACAGAATATGAAAGGGGACAGGTGGTTGAAGCTTAAATACCCTCTTCTTAGGGAAGAGGAATACTAGGGAATGAAGAGGCCCAATGCGCAGACAATGATTGGTAAAGGATTCTCTTTGCATAGTATCTAGATAAAGTCCCCCAGTTAATCTCTCGGAGCTGTCCCCAGAAGAACAGAAGAAAAGTCTCTCTGGGTGTGGTGAGGACGTGCAGTCTCTGCTCTTCTCTGATGGCTCATTTTTTTCTGGTTATTTGATGAGAGTCCTAGGGAGGGATTCTAGAGACAATTTCATTTTGTTTCAAAAGAAGCTTCCTTAGATAAGAAAATTCCAGAGAGAATCCCCCCAGTTGCTTCAGGAAAGAGGATCAGAGAGACAGGGAGGCAGGGGAAGGTCAGAGACAGACTTCGAATCTGAGGCTTCTTTCTGAGACCTTTCAGTTGTCCAAGCATTCAGCATGCGGAAGCACCATATTCTGGGGATTTGTTTTCTGTGCCCCAATGGTACCCACCCACCCCTTCCTGCATGTCTGTGTTTCCTTTGGTTTTTCTGTTTTTTAAATAAATCCTCTTCCCTCCCTTCTTTGACATATTACCTTGTACTTAAACCTCAGCTCAAGTGTCACTTTCTGAAGGAACTTCTGAAATCCCCTTACAGTTGTCACTCTGTGTCTGTGGGTTCTGCACCCATGGTTTCAACCAACCGTGGACAGGAATTATTCAAGAAGGAAAAAGCATCTATGTTGAATATACATGGACTTTTTTTTCTTGTCATTACTCTCCAAACAATACAGTATACCAGTGATTTGTGTAACATTTATATTGTATTAGGTATTATAATCTAGAGATGATTTAAGGTACATGGGAGGATGTGTGTCAGTTATATGCAAATGCTGTGTCATTTTACATAAGGGACTTGAGCATCCAACATCCTTATCTCTCTTTTGTAACATGTCACAGTTGCGTTTTCTATTTATTTTCCGTGATTATTTGTATAATAAACATCTTTTTCCCGTATTGGACTATAAGACCCATAAGGGCAGGTATAGCATTTGGTGTTGCCCCTCATTTTATCCCTAGCACTATGCAGAATGATCACTTGGAAGAGATTTGCTGGCCGACTGCATCACAGAGGCAGAGACTGAACAGGATGTAGGATGTAGGCGTCGATGCTATTTAAGCACTTTCTTGTAGGAACCCTAAATAAAATGCCTCTAGTGGTTTCACTGTATATTCATTATAAGAGGTTTAACCCACTCTTCAGCCTTCCAGTGGATTTTAGAATGACTGTATCTTATAATTCATAGACCTACAGTAATAGAATTTTGTAAATAATCTCAGTTCTTGTCTTGTGAAAATATTTCTGATCAATCACATTAATACCCTTAGTCATTCAAAAAAATCTATGTTATCTGCATCTTTATGGCTTACTGAGTAGGAATTTCACTTTTCAAAGGAATATTATTTTAAAATATCACAATGATATATGCTGTTTAAAATTGATTCTGTTTAATATGTTCTCATGCGTAAGCTTTAGGTATCTAATAAATTTTAGCCATACATTGCAAATCTCTCTATATTTTAATATTATTATTGGTTAGTTTACTTCTTGGCTTACTCATGTCCACTCATGTCAGTCTTAGTTATTGTCATTCCTTCCAGTTTGCAAGAACGTTTATTTTCTAATACACATTTTGCACAATGAATCTATAGGAAAATGTGACTGCATGAAGACAGTCTTCATTTCAGTGCTGATGCTCACTGTTCTGCATTAACATGATTCTCTTTCACTTTTTATTTCATCTTCTTGCAAAAACCAATATGCTTTGGAAAGTGTAATAGTACATTTTTTTTAGAGAAGTAGCGTGAGGTTTGTTTGTTTCTTACACAGATCCTGAAATGGAAAATGAAGAACAACCATCCTCTGAAAATGATTCTCAGAATCAGAGTGCTGAACAGATTTCATCAAGTTCTCAGGAGGTTGATTTGGTCGATCAAGAGTCTTCTGAGGAAAATTCTCTAAACTCTCATCCAGAATCATTATCTCCAGCAGATATGGACAATGCTGCAAGCATTTCCCCTTCTGAACAGACTTCTAATCCCACAGAAAACCATGAGACTGCAAATCTTAATGGTGAATGTACAGATTTAGATAACCAGCTTCAAGAACAATCAGAAACTGAGGAAGATTCCAATCCTAATGTTAGCTGGGGTAAAAAGGTCCAGCCTATAGACTCCATATTAGCAGACTGGAATGAAGATATAGAAGCATTTGAAATGATGGAGAAGGATGAGCTATGACTTGCTAAACAATCTGTTGGTAGGTATTTAAAAAGAAAAGGTAAACTGTGTGTGGTTAATAGACACCCTAATACTAAGCAGGCTTTCTAATGGGAGGCTTTAAGTATGGTGATGAACAACCACGTTCTGACTGGTGTAGTTATGGTAGGAATCTGGAGCATGCTGTGTTAGAATTGACCTTGTTTAAAACTGTCACATCAAAAATGGAAATCCACAGTTCCCCCTTCAAATGCAGCACTGCACCACCCTGCAACACCTCAGGCCAGGGAAAGATTACTGAGCATTCCTGGGAAGCAGATTTCTGTAGTCTCTGGATAGACAAGAAACAGAATTCATTTAGTAGTGGAGTGGGGAATCGAAGTTTGGATAGCCTTCTAATTAAAGGAAGCTTGCCTTTCTTGGTTTGGGGGTTAGAGGCTCTTTTGGGAAGATGCATCCGGGTATTGTGGCATTCTGATTATGCTGCCTTCACAAAACACTCTAAGTGACCTAAATGGTTATGAAGCAAATGCATTTATGGTGAAAACAGTCTTTGCTCATCACTTTCTCTTGTTTCATTTAGTGACAAATGATCAAGATGACTTGATTTTTTTTCCTTCTTAACAATGTCCTTTTTATTTAAACCAAAGGTGAAGCCAGTGTATTTTCTCAGTGAGTTCTCTGCATAAAGACTAATCAGTGGGACCAGGTAAAAAGGTCATATAATATATTGTGGAGATTGCTTACTTAATACTTCTGAAAAATGGAGTAAGGGAGAAACGATAATGTTGCAATATGAACCTCCCATTGGGCCTTCCATAGGGAAAGCTATGACTACTCTGAAATGGAACCTAGCATTATATCCTTGTAGGGTAGATTATAAATCTTTTCCAGTTCATTTCTCTTAGAGGTGATTACCTCTAGCCATCAGCCTTACTCCATCCCATGTTTGGTATGCAATTTGAGCCACAAGGCTCATATCGCCAACAGCTATATACATTTTGTTCCATTTTTCTATCTTACAGAGCCATGATAAAACTGTGGTTAGTGATTTAAAATTCCTGGAGTAACTACTGTTTTTCTCCTTTGAAACTTAGGTTTCTAAAGTTGCACCTAAGGAGTCTCACATTTTCCGTTGAATCATGGTTTTGGTTTTTGTTTTTAACAGATATTCCTTCTGATATGGACTTGAAAATTAGTCTATGGTGACCTGTGTTTTAAAAAAAAGTACAGTAACAACTAGCCATATAGCTTAATAAGAATCCCCCCGCCCCCTTTTTTTTTGGTTGTTGTCGTTGTAGTCTGGTGCTGGCCACATTTAAGTTTAAAAATTTTTTAAATTTTGTTGTTGATGCCTGTAGACAGCCCTATAGTTGAAATCATGGCTTTATTCATTTTATTTATTTTTAAAACTTGCCTGAATCAGTTCTGAAGGAATATTTAAGAGACGTAATTTTCTTCTCTTTACCATAACATTACACAAAACTTTTTCCTAAAACACGGTTGTGAGGTACTGGTGAGCTGTAAGTGGAGCTGTTAAAAACAGCAGTGCTGTATTGTAGTTATGTATATTCGTGTACAGTATGTTTAGATCCCAGGTAAACATATTCTTTTCTGAGAGGATAAATACCTGCATTCAGATATTCCAGGTAAATATAATTGAGTCAGGGAGTAGTAAATCTAATGGAGAATTCATTTTGGGGAGGGGGAAAAAGAATAGTATGCAAGACCCTTATTGGCTTTTAATTATACCTGAAACCAAAATGGATATTTTTAGTCTCTCTGCATGTGAGATTTGATGTAACAAGATAGAACTATAATATATACAGTATATGGAAGGATAGACATAGTGCTTTGTTCATTTTAATTGCAAGCTGCCAAAATAGCTGAAGCTTAATTACTTGACTTGCCTTGATTTGTAGGACTGGGGCTTGGAGAAAATGAGCAGATGTTCCTCTAAGACATTGATTACAGAAGCCTTATATACATGGATTTGATTTTGTATTTGTAGCTGAAAGCCATTGTTGTCTAAATCTAACTTTTTTAAGTTATCAAAACAACCTAATTTCTTTTCCAACAAGGAGAACTTAATGACATGAAAGATTGTGTGACACATTGGAAAAGTCAGCTTACTGCCACTCTCTTCCTTTGGCCATTAGAGGGAGGTGTTGCCTCATCGACGCTTAGAAGCAAATCGTTCACTTGTTTAGAAAAGTAAATCCTTAAAAACAAAAAAAAAGGAAGAAAAGGAAAAAATTTAACCAATTTTTCTTAATACCCAGAAGGAATTATACTTAGTATTTCCCGAGTTAAAAAAAGAGGATATAATGTTCGTCTGAAAAACTCCAGCGTTGTAATTGACTCTACATTCATTTACTTACTTGACATACTGCCACAAAGTAGTTTTTTAGTTCATTAAAAATTCCAAAGGCATTAGTTGTTTTTTTTTTAATGTTTTGTTTTTTAGTTACCTTTTATAGACATTTTAGTAACTTGCTAAAGATTCAGGGGATTCTATGAAACCCCAATTTAGAAACATCTGGTCTACCTCAGTTAAATGTTGACTGCTTAGAAATATAGCTGAAGTGATCACCACAGCCATAAAATTGTTTGAGTAAGAAACATTTATATAATGTTTACAAATCTGGAATCAAGTAAGGATTTTAGCTGCAAGTTAAGAGATATTAGAGCAAGTATTTAATTCAGGTATTTTCAAGTTTTAGAAACCTGTTTACCTACTAAAAATAGCTAGAGTTTTTTTCTGCATATAAAAGTTCATTGAAATGATATGCCCTTATTTGCAATACTTTTCCCATAAAGTTTTAAGTGTGAAAGAATTGTAATTTACTAGATATGTTTGGTATGGGATATTTTGTTGGGCAGGTTTTCTTTTTTCTTCTTAAATTGTAATAGGCTTCCAAAAAGAGTATAATTGTTTCAGAACAAATTAACTCTTGGCATTATATATCTCCCTTTTTCTTTACAGTATTAGTAAAATGAAAAATTGTACACTTTCTGATTTTAACTTCACTAATATAATTACTCTCTCAAGAAGTTTTTAAAATTTAAATTACCATCACACAACCTTTTTATAGTAAAGCCAACATTTGTTCTCTCACCAAACCCCATGCCAAATTCATCATGAAGAAAGCTCAGCATAAGTAATTCAAATACTGCTTATAATTTTAGAGAAGGGGGGGTAGAATTTAGTAAATAGTCCAGCCGGTCGTTTTATGCACAAGGCTTCAGTCAGAACATAGAAAAAAAAAACATTCTGTGAATGAAATATTGTATGTTCAGATTTTATAAAAGACATTTTTAAAAGCCCAATTTACAGCCGTATATTTTCTTATGATGTAATTTATGAAAAAGATGTCTGTACTAACAGGTGCTGTAACACTACTGTTGTTGGATTTTATTGTTTGATGATAAATGTATACAATATTTCTAAGGGAAACTATGTACTGTGATGTAAAAGTCTGGGCAAAATGTATATAATCCTGTATATAATTGTGTATTTGATTATAATTACTGATTGTAAAGATTTAATAAAATATGTAAATATTCTGGTTTAGTTTTAATTTGAATTTTTAGAATCACTGTGCATATCTTTATACTTTTATGTCTTGATATTTATCACTCTGTTTTCCTTTTTTTTTTTTTTTTAAACTTTCATTTTATCCTCAGGGGAGTGAATTCTGGGGACATTTTAGGCTGTAGAAACCCAAGTTTGTGGGCTAAAGTAAGGATTTTGGACCTTGTTCTAAGAAATCACTGAAGGTTTTCAACAAGTCAGTAACATGCACAAAGGTAATGGTAAGTGAATAAAACTCTAGAATTGTATATAAAGTATGATCCAGTGTTTGCTCACTCTCTCCATACACATACATACACACACACACACACACACACACATATACACACACATATATAATGACATTGACTCATTTATTCAACAAAGACTTAAGTGCATGCATGCCTTCTGTATGCCAGGCACCGTTATAGGACCTGGGGTGGTTGTAGTGGACAAATGGACAAAATGTAGTAAAGAAGATAGAAAATAAAGTAGTAAATAAAAAGAACAATGAGTTTATGAAGAAAAAATTATGGTGAGGGGATAGAGAGTGATGGAAATCATGGAGTGAGGGTCTAGTTAAATAGCCAAAATACTAACAGTGGTTATCTTGGATTATAGGCAATTGCTATTTCCTTATTTGTATATGTCAGTATTTTCATAAGTTTCCAAAATAAACATTATGATTTTAAAAATAAGTAGTTTAGGTCAGTGAAAGAATAGAAGAGAACATGAAAAATACACACCAGGTGGGGCATGGTGGTGCACACCTATAATCCCCTCTCCTCATGAGGCTGAGGTTGGGAGGATTGCTTGTGCCTGGAACTTTGGGACCAGCCTGGGCAACATAGGAGACCCCGTCTCAAAAACAAAATCCCCCCAGAATCCTATCTCGTGTTTCTGCACGATTCAACCAGTCCCTTATGTACTGCACACCTACCATGGACATAAGCAGCATTTGGCTGGGACTCAAAACCTTGAGAGGAGATGAGGTTTACCAAGAAAACTGGGTAGAATAGGAAAAAGAGACCTAAAATAGAGCCCTGAGATTCCTAGAATCTGGGGACAGCAGAGGAGGAAGGACATTTGTAGAAGGGAATGAAAAAGAGCAGTTGGAGAGGTGGGAGGAAAACAAGGCTGGAGCAGTGTATAAAAACCAAGACAGCATTTCAAGGATGGAGTGGCAAATAGCCTGAAACCCCTAAAAAGTAGTTTCTTGGTTTTAGCAACCTTTTCTGAAGTCCCCTACCCCACCAAATATCCACAGGAGGCAGTGGGTACTTGGTGCAAGGCAGACTGTTGCTGTGGAAGACTGTGGGGCTCCATCTTTTAATATTTGAGAAAAACCAGAAATTCCGGTGAAATCTTACTTTAAAACATTGTTTGAGTTAAACAAAATATACGTGACAGCAAAGGTCTCCAGTTTGCAACCTCCAAGCTGTCAGATCCTTACCTCCATGCTGTCAGATCCTTACCTCCACATGTGTACATACAAGGAAGACCCCATTCATTTTTAGAGGATCATTCACCAGTTTCCAGTTCCAGATTTATCATATGCACCACAGACCTCTTTCAACTGTTGAGATTTTCTTATGTCTTAATGGCCCTGGTGGTAATTAAGTGGCTTTTTAAATGTAGATTAATCTTTTAATCAAGTAGGTCAATGGAAAGGGGACATCCATTCACCTTCCTACAATTACTCTTTTTAAAAAAAGTTTTTGAGACAGGGTCTCACTATGTTGGCCAGGCTGGAGTGCAGTGGCTATTCACAGGTGAGGACATAGTGCCCGGCAGCTCTGAACTCCTGGCCTTAAGCAGTCCTTCCACATCAGCCTCCCAAGTAACTGGGATTACAGGCGCCTGCCACCACGCCTGGCTTCACCTTTCTACGTTTTCTAATGTCAACCTTTGAGACCATCTTTAACCTGAGGTAATGAAAGTTTCTCTCTTGAATCCAGCTCAGGTCTTGCTTCCATCAACTGGTCTGGCCAGACTGCTGACTCAACTTCACCCCACCTTCTTCCTTCTGTGGTTCCTGGTGGCTCGCTGTCTCCAAGCCACATACTCCCCTAGGGTATATCTGTAAGCTTCTACTCAGCTCAGCAGTGGTTCCTTCAAGTTCCAGAAACACCTCAAAGAGGACTGGTCCAGGCCAGCTGTCTAATAAGCTATATGAACACTAGTATCCTCCTTGCAGTCCTAATAATATCCTAATAATAAAAGCAACCAACACTTTTTTTTTTCTTTTTTTGACAAAGTTTTACTGTGTCATCCAGGCTGGAGTGCAGTGGCGCAAACTCGGGACACTGCAACATTTGCCTCCCGGGTTCAAGCAGTTCTCCTGCCTTAGCCTTCCTAGTAGTTGGGATTATTGGCGTGCGCCACCATGCCCAGCTAATTTTTGTATTTTTAGTAGAGATGGGATTTCGCTACGTTGACCAGGCTGGTCTTGAACTCCTGACCTCAAGTGATCTGACCGCCTCAGCCTCCCAAAGTGCTGGGATTACAGGTGTGAGCCGTCGCACCCAGTCAGAACCACTCTGTGAACCCTCACTAGGCATTAACATACACTGAGTGCTCTATATGATTCCTTATCCATATGGCAACCTTGCAAGATACCTATAATTTCATTTAAGCGACTCACCCAAAGCCACAGAGCAAGGTAGATGGGCCTGGGATTTGAACCTAGATTAGCCTGATTTCTGCGATACAGACTGACTCTCCTAACTATGCACAATTAATCTATTTGAACCAAGGGTGTGTAATATGGCTGCCATGAAGGCTGACTCAGATACCCTTACAAACAACATTCACCTGCCAAACAGTCAGCTATCAAAGGGATCTAGGAGTTGGAGGTACTAGGACCTGGGGTGGTTGTAGTGGACAAATGGACAAAATGTGGTAAAGAAGGTAGAAAATAAAGTAAATAAAAAGGACAATGAGTTTATGAAGAAAAAGTTATGGTGAGGGGCTAGAGAGTGACTTCCTAAAGAGGTAGGAAGAGGAAAAAGGACTGCTTACAGCTTCAGGCCTTATGGTCTCTTGAGTCAAGAGGATATTTATCAGACTTCAAAATGGTAGATACAAGAGACAAGTCTTGTTTCCAAGGCAACTACCAATTTCTCTGATCCTTGGCTCCAACATTTCATCATCTCCTGTCACAATGGCTCCACCTAGGAAACATCTACAAACCACGCAAGAAACCCATGTATGTGTTTTACCAGCTTATCACTGGCCTGGGAACGGCTTGAAAAAAGGAAAAGTTGGGCCTCGTCACTTTTGTCTCACCTCTGCCAGTGCCTAGCTCTTCAAAGGCATTCACTAAGCTCTTGTGGGGTGAATTGAATGAAACACCTGGTTCAGAATGAGTGGATGTTTTCTATCACTTCCCCAAATCACATTTATCCTGAAAGGGCTAGGATTTGCAATCACAGAAATGTCAAAGAAACGATGTGCCAATTTTGAAGACAGTTGTATGAAGGTAGTCCTAAAAATCTTTTTTGTCGTTGTTGGAAGTAAACATTGAAGACAGCACAACTCATGTAAGGGTCTCAGAATTTTAGAGCCAAAAGATTTTTTAAGTTGTCAGGCCGTTGATTCTCCTCATTGGACGAGAAGAAGACAGACTCCGGAGGTGGGAAGTGACTTGACGAAGGTCACACATCTCCACAACTGATTGTACTCTTAGGCAGCGTGGAGGTTCTGGCACAGCTGCTTCACAGTCATCCTCAGGCCTTACAGCCTGAGTTCCTCCACTCTGTTTAAGTTAACATTCAGCCAGAGGGATAATTACTAACATCAGAACTTCAGAGCTGCCCCTGAGAGCCTTGGCAAAACTCTAGGGTTCCACTGAATACAGTGTAAAAACTACTGACTTAGACAATGTATTGTTCCTCATTTAAACTTTTAGCACATTCAAGCAAAACTGTCTTTTAATTCCCTGAAAACTGGCTATTCTGATTAGCAGCATTTATTCTCTTCCTTTCCTGATGAATAAACTCATTAATGAAAGAATACATCCTGTACTTTCTTTTGTGTGTTCATCTGAATTAACCTAAGTGTGGGCAGAGCTCAAAATGCTGAGACCAAGATACAGATCCTTTGCCTGGTGGGCCCTCTTGTGGGTCTTGAAGTCAAGGGTTCCTAAGCTTTGTGGTGGTGGCAAAAATGGTCCTCTTTAGACCAAAATCACTAAATGTGACATTTCTAAATTTGAAATTCTGAGTAAGAGCTACAGGAAAGAATGGTAACCTGTTTATCTCTGTATTGGTAAGGCAATAATGGAAAATTCTAGGCTAACCAAGTAATAGGCATCTCACTTTAAGCCAGTACTTTCTAAACCTCTGTGAGGCTGAGAATGGTGGCTCACACCTGTAATCCCAGCCCTTTGGGAGGCCGAGGCAGGTGGATCACCTGAGGTCAGGAGTTCAAGACCAGCCTGGCCAACATGGTGAAACCCTGTCTCTACAAAAATACAAAATTAGCCGGGCATGGTGGTGGGCACCTGTAATTCCCAGCTACTCAAGAGGCTGATGCAGGAGAATGGCATGAACCCGGAAGACAGAGGTTGCAGTGAGCCGAGATGGCACCACTGCCCTCCAACCTGGGCGACGGGTTGCGGGGGCGGGTACAAAAACAAAATCAATCCTCTGTGAAACTCTACTACTTTTGTAATAATAATGCTCATTAATGGATGTTTACATTTATCAGGTACTTAGAACTTATGCTTTTGTAAGACCTGTATGAGACACATACCTTTGTTATTCCCATTTTATTGATGAGAAAACAGGCTTAGCAGTGGAGTTTTAACTGAAACCAAAGAAACACACTGGCTAAATTAAACAGGCAAGTGTGTGAGGGTAGATGCAGGAAAAAAGAAGGCTCCTGGAAGGTTCCAGTGGTGGCACCAAAGATCTAGGGGAGGGCAGTTGACATGTTCTCAACCTTTATTATGCATAACAGAAGTCACATGTATCCCACAAGTATGAAAATATT